TATGTATTTGGTTTTTGATGTTCATAGATTGATTAGAGTAATTAGAAGCGATTGCATTTTTGTTTGCATGAACACTAATCAATTATGTACGCGTATGCATATGTACATACATATATGTATTTATGTATGCACATAGTTTGTTTACCTGTTCATATGCACATTTATATCTATGTATTATTCACAAGTAAATATTAAATTAAACATATGATCATAACCATTTAATTTAATATTTCTATGATTTCGATTTTTTTTTGCCAAATATATTTTTTTTAAAGATAAATATACCAAAAAAGTACTAAAATTGGTCAAAAACATTTTTAATACATGTACCTAAAAAATGAACAATCTATGGAATATGGGTGTTTCCAGCGGAAGGTCCACCACGACAAAAAAATAAAAGTTTTTATCTAACGTATTTACGGGCCGATTTGTCTGCTTTTTAAAATATATACTGGCTATGTAAGTAGAATCATCTTTGCATAAAATGGTCTTCCTAGGTGGTGCCAAGGTCGAGATATTTCGAAAAACCGTATTTATGGTCTGATTTGGTTCGAATTTGGCGTATGTGGTTGAAACATAATAAATCATAGATTTCTAATAAATTGACCCTGAATTGGCGCTGAAGTCAAAATATAAAGTATATTCTACATAAAATACATGTTTTATTTGCGTTAAAAATTCATTTAAAAGCAATATTAACAAAAATATAACGATGGAAATTTATGTCACGTGACGCCACGTCACGTCACGTTTCACACTTGGGGTTGTAAAAGAGAATTGAAACAATTTGCATTAATTCAAAAAACTCTAAGAACAACTAGAATTGCTCCAAATCATATTAAAATAAGTTTCATGAAAATAGCCATCCACAATTCGCAGAGTTTTGCGATTTTGTAAGAAAAGAAAAAATCAACTTCCATTTTTTGTCACGTAACGACACTCTCTTTAAATGCTTATATTTCAGGACCAAGCAGTTCGATTGATTTCATTTTCCGGTTAAATATAGAGCTAATTATGTGCTCAAAAAAAAAAGTTAAAGAAAACAAATGGTATTCCTTTTTTGTATCACATTGAAATCGTACGACTGTCACGTGCGCCACCATGGGAATGCCCATATGTAAAATATGCAAATGGTATTGGGCATCAATTAATCGGAATGGTTTTGCATCAAATAATTCCGGTTCTAATTCGCTTTATCGCTCAAAACTTTAGTTTCTTATCATTATAATTGTTTTGCATATAAAAAAGCAAAAATTTAAAAAATAATTAAAAATTGGCAATATTAAGTAAAAATATCATAATTCCGATTTACTACCCTGCAACACGGAGTATATCAATATACATATTGCTAGACATTATTTTGTGCCGCTAACAGTGAATTTAACAGAATCAACCACCAAAAAATCTGCAAAAAGTGGAATCCGTGGTTAAAACCTTCTAAATCGGTTAAGTTCCGACACTCAATAGTTTCCATTTGTTGTTTGCATCTTCTCTATTTTATAAGTTCTCTGCATATTCATGTATATTTTTTTATAAAATTAATATAATTAAATTATATTAAATGTACTTTAATATTAGTTAGAATTGCTGATTTGCATATCTGCATGACCATTTGTTAAATATAATTTAAAATATATATTCATTCAGTTTTAAGTTTTTAGCAATATTCGCTCTAAGCCGAAATTTACTACCTCTATGCCGACAAACTATATTACGCCTTACACTCGACTTCGTCTTGGTCATACAATTATCACCCATTCCCATTTACTTCAAGGCGCTGATGCCAGGGGATGCCCGTTTTGTAACCTTCCACTCAGCGTGAACCATCTTTTGTCATCCTGCTCCACACTCCAATCCCAGAGACATCATTACTTTAAAAATGCGGATCCTATTCAGTTGTTAAAAGATCCCACAGATGATAACATAACAAGGATATACAAATACCTAAAAGATTCCGACCTGCTTCGTCGTATCTAATATTTTATGCCACATTCCAGCCGAAAGCCTGCGATGCTAGTGCTGCGTTAGTTTGTAAGTTTATATGATAATTGAATTGTTATGTAAACTCTTATAAAAATAAAAATAAAAATACGCAAGTACTTACAGTACTACAAGTATACAGAGAGAAGATTTGCTACTCCCTTTCGGCAGCAGCGAATATCTCTCGTACGCGATGAGAGAGATGGTGGAGTAATAGCAAGTATGTCAAGTATTTACTCTCTCAACGCCAAGTAGTGTATGCAGTGTTGCCAGAACTTTTTGGACGAACCGGCTAAATTGGCAAATAAAACCGGCTAAAAACGGCTAATATGTTTCAACTAAATTTCACATGTTTTATTTAAATAAATCACGAGTAAAAAGAAAGGAAAAAATTTTGCCAGCAAGAATGTGCAATTAGGAAAAACATATGATTGTGGCACATGGTTGGATTTTTTGTCGACGATAATTTGAATAAACAAGTTCGTTAAATTTAAAAATTTACAAACTGGAGCGATTTTAAAATGAAAAACGTAAGTTAATACTTGTTTACTTAATTAATTTAGTTAATCCAATGATTTGAAAGGTACTCGGCAGAAAAAAACTGTATTCTTAATCCGAATGCAATCTCAACCAGAGTCGATATAGTAAACCCGACAAAGAAATTGAAACGTATGTTGAAGAAAGTCGGACTGACAAGATATATACACGCATATCCTGTTTTTTGCCCCTCTGAATGTGGTATTATAAGAGAAGCTACTCGAGCTTAGCATTTATGAGGAGCTGAAGGTGAAATTCAAAAAAGGCTATCAAACATTTTGGCTGCAGGCAGAAATACCCGAAAAATAACCTGGGCTGTAGGAAATGGTGGCATGCCTTGTCGAAAAAATTTTTAGGGACGTTTAGGGTTCGAACGATACTATCGATATTGAGTAAGTATCGATACTCAGGGTATAAAAATGAGTACTTTAATACTCGATACCTTATTTGGTGATTTTACTCGATACTTTGCCAAGTACTCGTAGTATCGAATACTTTTTAAAAAACACACTTTTTAAATTTTTTCTTCCATTGCTTTCTTTGCTTATATGGATTACTATCATTCAATTTTGTCCATCACTTAAAATAAACTGAAATTGCGTGTAGTCTGTTGCATATCATAAGCCAAATAAGTTAAAGTTTAATGGCCATATTCATAAAAAATAGAGTAGGTTTAAAGAGCTTAATAAAATGACATGTTTATACATTTTTCAGTTTATAAACCTTTTTTATTTTTTATGAATAAGGCCATAAAACTTTGCGCAAAGTTCACGAAAATGCAGAATTTTTAGAAACTTTTTGGGTATGCAGTTTTGTAACCTATTCAAATTTACGTGTAGCCAAAGTATTACGTGTAGCCTACTACCGTTGACTTTTAATTCAAACTTGCACATTATTATACTAAAATTGAAAATGCATACCCAAAAAGTTAAAAAAAAATGTCTTAATAAAAATTGAAATT